TGTTGTACACCAGAAATTGACACAGCATTGTAAACTGACTATACTAAGAAGTCTGAACTTGAGTATCATGCAGCAGGTACAACGCAGGAAAGACAGTACAGACACTCCTACAACATAGGGTGGCTGGTTTCATGGTGGGTCAGAAGTCAGGGATCTTGGGAGGACAGGATTGCCATTAGTTAGCCCCCTAAATTTTGAGTCAATCCTCCCAGATTCTGGGGTGCAGAGAGGAAAAAGAAATGTGGTGTGAGCTGAAGCTGGAGAGACAGTCTTAAAAGTCTTCCTTCACCTCCCTGACTAGGTCGATCCCCATCAGTTACTGGCTTTTGTAACAGCTTTCCTTTGTAGCATGTGGCACAGTTCCGATTTTATATTTCCTTGTGTCAATATTTGATAAATGTTCGTCTTCCCCATTAAACTCCACGAGGGGTTGTTCCATGTCTGTTTTGTTCACCAGTGTATCTCCAGTACCAGCACAGTGCTGGGTACTTAGTGGTTGCATGACAAATGTTTGCTGAATGAAAGAAGGTAGCTGTTTACACTCGGGCCTCTCTAAGCCCAGAAAGAGAGGTGTTCCCCTGTGGTTGGGAATGGGTAGGCTGCAATCTTGATGGGGAAAGATGGGCAGTATGGTTACTCTCTTGGGATTATCTGCCTATGCCAATGTGCATTGCATGTACTCTCTTCCCCTCTACTCCCCTGCACTAAGAGAGGCCCTTGTCACACTGCTACAGATGGCTCCCACCAGACAGCATAAGAGCTTGGGACTCTAGAGCCAGGACAACAATGTTAAATTCTAGCTCTGCCACTTACTAACATGCAGCCTTGGGCAAATCACTTAACTTCTCTGCCTCAGTTTTCTCACCTATAAAATAGGGATAATAATAGTTCCTACTCTGTTGTTAAATGAGCCATTACACACATAAGTGCTTAGATCATCGCTTGGTACAGAGTAAGTGCTACATATGTACACCATCTACCAAATGCAGTCTTGGCTCTCAACACAGCTGATAGCTTACCCCAAATATGTCTCCCTTGGCTAGAGTTCAAGTACATAGCCTTCCCCTTTGCTTTGGCAAGATAGGTAGGAGACAGGAAGCAGAAATGATAAATGGTGGGGGGAAGCTGAGAGTGGGTTTGGGTCTGAGGCCTGCCCACCCAGAATGTGGCTGTGGCACAATCTCTGCAGAGATTTTTTTTCTTCTGTTAAGAGTTTACCTTAGGGCTCCAGTGGCTGTTTGCACCACACTTCCAGTCCAGATGAGGTTTGCTGAAGTGCCAGCAAGGACACGCACCCTGCCCACACTCTCCTAACTGTCCTAGCCTCAAAGACACATCTAAACAACTGAGGATGGGGCTGAGATTAATCCATGGCTAAGATTGCCACCTGATCCAGAGGGAAAGGCACACGTTAGTGTTTGGAGACAGTGCAGAGAACCTGTTTCAATGGGGCCCTTTGTACCAAGGTAGGCAAGTTCAGTGCTCAAAAGTTTATTTCTTCAGCAGTATTTTGCCTGCAATTAGGGTGGCCAGTGTAGTGGAGAAGCGCATCTGGGTTCCCTGCTCTGTGAGTAATACGCTTATACAAGGTATACCTTTGTAAAAACATCATTTCAACAACAACAAAAAAACTAGGTGCTTCAAAAATTAGAACTTCAGAGGAAATTCAATCATATTATATACAAATGAAAGATGTAAGGAAATTAAAGGCAGAGAAAAAAAGCATCAGTTTTATGAAGTGTAGGATTTAGTCTTTAGAGGGAAAGATGAAAGAGAATAGTTTATTTAGACTGGAGAAGAGATGGCAAAGAAAGAACTTAATGAATTGTCAAGTATGTGAAGGGACATACATCATCAGTAATAACCAGCTTTTAATCTGTTGCTTCTGAGGACATAACAAAAAGAGAAGAAATTCAAATTGTGACAAGAGAACCGCTGAGAAGATGGTTAGCCTCAGGAACTGTTGCCCCAAGAAGGACTAGAAATATAGTTCTTTATATGGAGATAAAGTAAATCAAAAGGCAAGGCTATCAGCAATAGCGAAGTTGCAATTCTATTTAACCCCAGGGTAATAAATATAGTAAAAATATATAAAATATATTAAGTTACATTATATATGGTAAGCGGTAACTTTGTATTAGACTTTCTCCTGGCATTCTACTTCAGCTCAGTTAAATTTTACAACTTTTCCGTGGGTTGTAGATATCATAATTGCCATTTTCACAGCTGAGAGAACAAAGGTCCTGAGTGGTTAAGTAGCTTTCCCAAGGTAACATCACTGGTCAGCAATATCTATGCCAGGTCAAATCTGTGTCCTTCTGGCTTCAGAACCTATGTCCTTTGCACTATATTTCTGCGTGGATGCAATAATATGTCTTTTTGCAGTTTCCTTTCTTTCATTAATTGTTCTTCACATTAGATGTCACAGAATTTTTCCCCAAACAAAATCACCTCAGCCAAACAACAGGAATACAGTGACTAGCTGGTTATACTAGTAACCAAATGTACACCTCTGCTAAGAGTGGACTCTCTTGGGTGTAAAGAAAAGGGAACCCTCCTACACTGTTGGTGGGAATGCAAATTGATGGGGCCATTATGTAAAACAGTATGGAGGCTCTGTAAAAAACTAAAAATAGAGTTACCATATGACCCAGCAATCTCACTCCTGGGCGTATATCTGGAGAAAACTCTAATTTGAAAAGATACATGCACCTCAGTATTCATAGCAGCACTTATTTACAACAGCCAAGACATGGAAATAACCTAAATTTACCAAAGTAATTTCAATATGCAGCCATAACCAAGAAACAATGCTCTAAATATACAGCTGACCCTCGGTATCTGTGGGGGATTGGTTCTATGACCCTCCCAAATACCAAAATTCGAGGATGCTCAAGTCCCTTATATAAAATTGTTCAGTCTTTGCATATAGCCTACGTACATCCTCCTATATACTTTAAATCATCTCTAGATTACTTTTAATACCAAATAGAATGTTAATGCTATGTAAATAGTTGGAAATACAATGTAAATGCCATGTAAATAGTTGCCAGGGCAAGGCAAATTCAAGTTTTGCTTTTTGGAAATTTCTGGATTTATTTTTTCTCCAATACGTTCAAACCACGGTTGGTTGACTCTGCGGATGCACCACTTGCAGATCTGGAGGGCCTACTGAATTTCAAATTTGTCCATTTTTCGTTATTGAGTCCTCACTCTATGGGAGACAGTGTCCTAGGTCCTTTTCCTGTATTATCTCATTTAAACCTCACAACCATTTGGAAGTAGGTGCTAACATTATCCTCATGGTAAAGATTGCTAGAAAGCTTGAGTACATTGCTCATTATCACCCAGCTAGGAAGCAGCAGGGATGGGATTAGAACTGAGGCAGCCTGGCTCCAGGGAACCCAATCTGAACCACTACTCTGCACTGTGTCCCCAGACCAGAAACCCACCTTCTTATCCTAGAAAGACTGCTATACTCATCTTCCTGGTCTCCCCATTTGTCTTATTTCCTCCCTTCAATCTAGTCTGGACACAAGAACCAGTGAGATCTTTTAAGACATCAACTGGATCATGTCATGCCCGTGTACAACCTTCTGATGGCTTCCCAATGTACCTAAAAAAGGAAATTCAAACTCCTTCCCATGGCTTTGAAGATCCAATGTGGTCTGACTCCTGTTCACCTCTCCAGTCTCATTACATGCCAGTTATATTCCTGCCACATGGGTCCCTAGGCTCCTTGAATGCTCTAAGCTCTTCCCTGCCTGGTCTTTTGAATTTTCTTTCTGTTTGGGATGTTCTTCCGCCAGGACCTTTGCATGGATAATTCCTTTTCATCCTTTTAGTCTGAGAGTACGTGTCATCTCAGAGAGGCCTTTCCAAATGCTCAACCTAAATGCCTTCACCTCTTATTTTCTCAGTCCTTTGTTTATTTTCTTCATAGTACTCACATTATTTATATTTAGATATTTCTTTGTTTATTACGTCTTCTCTGGTAAAACGTGAGTTCCATAAGAGCAAAGAAGATATCTTGGCTGCTATGTATGCCACATATGGCTGTACAGGTTGTGTACTGCACAAGGGCGCCACAGCTACAGAGGTACATTCACAAAGATTTTCTGGTGAATGGCAGTCAAGTATCTTAAGTAAGAGAACCCTTTTTGTAATTCACATAAAGATGCCATAGAGGCTAGTAGTGCCCTGTATGTCAACTGTATTTACTAATATGTATCCAGCCTTGAGCACAGTGCCAAGCATATAGTAAACAATCAATAAGCATGCTGATTGGATAGAAGGAAAGCACAAAATTAGGATACAGCCAGGGGGCAAGTGGGAAAGAGGGGACATAAAGGACTGCTGATAGATTTGGTAATTTGAGAAAAAGGGAATAAAGGAGAAATTAATGGTGATTATGTTTGATCTAGGGAACCTAGAGAAAAAAATTGGTGCCATTATCAAAGAAATGGAACCCAAAGAAGAAAAAAACTGGCTTGAGAAGATGATGATTCCCTTCTGGATATAACTCGAGAAGATGCTGTCTTCCACTTTGCTTTCATTGAGTTTGTCACCATTTTACAGCGGGATTTTAAAAATACTCCTGTATTTACCCTACACAGTATTCAAAATGGTCACATTAATGCTTTGCGAGGCCCATTCTTTCTTTTAAGGCTGTGTGTGGAAATGCCCTGTGTTTTACAATCCAGTCATGTAGGGGCCAAGCTAGAAGGGATTAAGGAAGGAGAGCTACAGATACTTACTTTCACATTAGATGACTGTCACCCTCCTTCCCCTGCTGTGCTCCAGCGCAGTTTCTTTTAGGCAGTGACCCTTAAAAGCAGTGCTTTTATTTGTTCTAACTTTTGTGAATGAAAGCATCTTTAAAAACTAAGGCTACCACAGAAAATTCTCTTTCCCTAGGCCACTGGACAGGTTAATTTCCTCTTCTAAATCTTGCTACTCAGGATGGAGGCACCTGAAGTCTTGGGATGCAGGATACCTACCTCTACACACCCGGCAGCAGGAATCTGGAACAGAGACTGGGAAGGCACAGGTTAACTTGGGGCAAGTCTTGAGACCACAGTACACATTTCCCTCCTGCCAAAGAGAAACAAAATTAAGGTCAGAAAGAGCTGGCATACGTGCTAAGGCTTTAGCTCAGTACCTGGGATGAGTAGGGGCTCAAACACGACACATTCCTCCCCTCCCCACTGCTGTTCCATAGTCGGTTCTAGGTACTTCCTAAATTTTATGATGCATTGTTTTTTTATTTACTATTTCTTCAGGCCACAGACTAAGTCACAGAAGAGTTGGCAATCCTCTTCAGGCATCCTGGTATAAGATGGAACAAAGTTGTCAGTGAGACGGCTGCTCTGAGCTGCCAAACAACCAAATATAGTCTTGCCCCTCTCTTCTCTGTCCATTCTATCCCTTGGCCCTCATTATGCCTCAGCTGGATGTTGGGGTTTGGGGGGAATGCAGATTCACATGATAGCTTCCTTTCATAACACTTACTAGAGTCTCCCTTCCAACAAAGTAGACAAACTCTTCGGGTTGATACAAAACTATGCAAGGTCATCTGAATGGGTAGTTCAGTCCAGCACAAGCCAAGGGAGAGGATCAGATTTACTTGCTAGTTATGTTTGTCCTTGAATAATGTTCATTCCCTAAAATTCTATGTTCCAAACATTATTCCTTAAGCCTTGCACTTAGTTTATAGGAGCATATTGTTCTGGGGCTAGATGGGTTCCTGAAAAGTCATTAGGAAAGCATGGCTACAACAGAATCGCCCACACTACTAAGATCTTCTATTTTTACTAAAAATCCCTAAGCAAGGAGATTCTTTAACTTCCCTTGTCAGTCCAGTGTTTAATACCCTTTATAGGCAGAAAAGTTGTTTCTACACCTAACTTCATTCTCTCATACTTCAGCTTAAACAGCCCTTTGACTCCATTTTCTGATTATATCTATTACATTCTCTGGACTGCACAATTAGATGATAATATAATCAGTATGTCTTCTTCCTGAAGTATACAATTCTCTTAACAAGCAATTTCATCATCAAGTATTCGTTGAGAGTTTTCTCACTGCAGGGAACCAGGAATGAACTGGTTAGTAGAATATTTAAGGGATGGGAACCAAGAGACAACCTATTTTCTTGTGAATTAGACTGAGTGTCCCTAGATCATGCCAGTGACCTTTCTAACCATAGCATTTCCAACACTTCAAATAATTGAGTTGTTCAGGTGAAGGCTTCGGTGGTGTCGTTATTGTAAAAAGGCATACAGGTAGATCAAGGCCATTAGCTCATCTTTGTCCTTTTAAGCAGTCCTAAAGTTTTAAGACAAGGATATAACTAGGTCTGACCTCTTCAACAGAGTAGCTCAGGGTTGATGAAGATCACGGAGTCTGGATTGGTAGGGAGGCTTGTGATTTAGATGCAATTCATCTTTCAATCAAGCACCCTACAGTGTAGGCTCAAACTAAAGGGACAAGTATAGGAGCACTCTTATTTGGGTAGGGGACAGCACGGACAATAAGATACAGGGTCTTACCGAACAGCTGCACTGGGTGCACTGGTTGGGTTGCCGGTTCTGAAAGAGCCCTTCAGCCATGAACAGCTCACCATGTTGGTAAGTGGTCCCATTGTACTCACACGACTTGCTGGTCACCTTATTGTTCGCAGTGGGTAAGGAGTCTTCTGGGACAGAATGGAGAAAAACCAGACCACATATTGGCATCATTGGAAAGAATTTCATAAATCCCAACAGCAGATAGGGCTGTACCACATCGAGGGAGTTAAAAATAGTCCCTAATCCAGTGGCTGATAACTTAGATAATATTAAAGCAGCCAGACAAGAACAGTAACTAATGCGACCACCCACCCATTTCTTCACTTGTTGGACATTTATTGAGCACCTACTGTATACCAGGCACTGTGATGGGCACTAGAGAGAGATCAGTGAAGAAGGACAAGACCCCTCCCTTGATGGAGCTAATAGCCTTAGATGAATAAGGTATTACCTTGCCTGGAAGAAAGGAGTTTTTTCAGATGAGAAACCACCTATTATGACTACCTTGGTAACTGTACTCCCTCCAATGTTTCATATCACTTGCTTGTATCCTTGTTCCAGCCTCTGAAGTTTTTGCTTATTTTTAATCCTTCTACCAAGACTGCTCCCTCCCTCCCACTCTTTTCCACCTATTGAAGTTCTGTCTGACTTTGAAGGCTCAGCAAAAGTCCCCTATCCTCCATGAAGCAGTCCCTCATAGCTCCAGCCCATGATCTGCACCTCTCAAAGTGTCTTATGTCTGAAGTACAAATTTGGCACTTGAATATTATTGTAACTCATATTTGTAAATTATAGCCACTCAGCCAACAATTTACAAAGAGCTTTCACATAAATTGTTACAATAAAGCCTCATAACAACACTGTGAAGCAAGCAAGGCAGATTCTTATCTTCATTTTTCATTTGAGGGTGACAAGTCTCTGAGGTTGAATGACTTAGCTGGAGTCACGAAGGTAGTGAGTGATGAAAAAGGGAACTGAAATCTGGTCCTCTACCTCTAAATTCCATCTTCTTTCTACCAACCCATGTATACATTTGTATGTATTGCTTTTGAAGACTGGGACTCTGCCTTACATGTCTCTTTCTCCATGGAGTCTGGTGGAGGGTTGCCATGTAACAGAACCAAGAGACAACTCAGAGTTCACTCTAAGTGAATGGTCTCAAGAAGTCTTTTGACTAGGCTTCCTTAAAGTGCATACTGTGTACATACACACACACACCCCTCCCAAATAGCAATGAATAAGTGCCCAGGTTAAACTAATCATCAATGTACAAATTAACAATAGATACAAGCAGAGGTTGTGAAGTACCTGTTTGAGGCAGTGGAAGAAGAGAAAAGAGGGGAGTTGTACATTTCACTAGGGAGAGGCTTAAAGAGTTAGACCATCCTACACTGTGGGTGGGAATGTAATGGGTGCAGCCACTATGGAAAACAGTATGGAGGTTTCCTTTTTTTCCTAACATTTTTCATTGAGTTATAGTCATTTTGCAACATTGTGTCAAATTCCAGTGTAGAGCACAATTTTTCAGTTATACATGAACACACATATATACATTGTCACCTTTTTTTCACTGTGATGGAGGTTTCTTAAAAAACTAAAAATAAAGTTTCCATATGATCCAGCAATCCCACTCCTGGGCTTATATCCAGAGAAGACAAAAACTCTAATTTGCAAAGATACATGCACCCCAATGTTCATAGCAGCATTATTTACAATAGCCAAGATATGGACGCAACCTAAATGTCCATCAACAGATGGATGGATAAAGAAGGTGTGATATACATATATAATGGAATATTACTCAGCTATAAAAAAGAATGAAATAGTGCCATTTGCAGCAATATGGATGGACCTAGAGATTATCACACCAAGTGAAGTAAGTCAGGCAGAGAAAAACAAATATTATATGATGCCACTTATATGTGGAATCTAAAAAATAATACAAATGAATCTCTATACAAAGCAGGAACAGACTAACAGGCATGTAAAACAAACTTATGGTTACCAAAGGGGAAAGGGAGATAGGTGAGGGATAAATTAGGAGTATAGGACTAACAGATACAAACTACTATACATAAAATAGATAAGCAACAAGGATTTAGTGTATAGCATAGGAAACTCTGTTCAATATCTTGGAATAACCTATAATGGAAAATAATCTGAAATGTGTGTGTGTGTATATATATATTTATATCTGAATCACTTTGCTGTACACCTGAAAATAACATATCATAAATCAACTATACTTCAATAAATTTTTTTAAAAAGAGTTAGACCATTTTTTATTTCCCACCACTCAAAGCCATAATGAAAATGAGTCCACGTTATGGTGGGTAAATTATACCTCATTAAAACTTTAAAAAAAACAGAATGATATTGTTCTCAGGATATAGGTAAACATGATAAAGGCCAATAATAATATCCATCATCATCAAACAATAGTTAACATTACTGTGCCCTAAATAATATGCTAGGCAAAATGGTGAGTGCTTTTCAATACATTTTCTCATTGGTCCTTACTAGTAACATTCTGATGTAGATATTAAGGTTCTGTCCATTTTGCTGATGAGGAAACTAAGGCTCAAGAAATTAGGAAACTAAGGCCCAGGGTCACACAACTTATTAATTGTAGCACTAGGAGCTGAACTGATGTTTGACTGATTCAAGAATATTCCCTCCTAGGGTGCCAATCACTTCAAACCTGTCACAAGTAAAGGACCATTTAACTTAAAACCAAAACCAACAGAACATGAAGGGGGTGTGGTCCCTGCAGAATGGCCTCAAATACCTAGAAAATTGACATCGCACTTTCTATGGCTTCGTGATTTGGGTAACTGATTCAATTCTATACTTTGCTACATAAATTGATCTAGCTTCAATTTCTGAGTAAATCACTCTTTGGGTGTTAAGTAGTTATTAATGACCCCTTACAGAGTACCAAGGAAGTTCCTTAATTTTGCCTTAAAAAGAAAAGCCTTAGCTCCTAGAAAGCATTTAACTCATACTAATTGGCCCTCTGGCCTGGGCTGAGTCCCTGCTGCTGCCCACAAGTACACACAACAGACAGCTGCAGCTGGTACACATGCGTGAAACCCAATGGACAAAGTACAAGAGCAGGGCCATTTGCCCCTGGGCCCTAATTATACCAAATTGCAGTATTTTGTGGTGAAGGAAAACTCGGATGACCTACAAAATAATATTTGCCATGACTCTTACAAGAGCTGGCAAATCTTTGGAATACTGAAAGAAGAGAAAGTTTGGGTTTTGGTTTTTTTTGAGTTTTTCTTTTTGCCTCAAAAGAACTTGGATTGAGTTTTGAATTGGGTCTTCCACCAAGGTGAGGCAACTGCAGAATGAAGTTTTCCAGTGGACCTTGACCTTGAGAGTCTTTCTTGTAATAGTCTTCAGAGTAACCTGGCATTGGAGTCTATTAATCTACTCAACAGGAGTTGGAGAGAAAGCAAAAAAGAGGAAGACAAAAAAATCAAAGAAAAAGAAACCAATGATGGTCATGCTTAATGTTAGTTTTACGCAAGAAATTTATCTTAACATCTCCCCATTTAATCTTATTTCATTTTTCTAATATCCCTAATGGGGCTGAGGACAGGGGAGAATTATGAATATGAGGCTACTAATGCCTCAAAAGATTTGGTCCTTATCACACAGCTATTTACTAGAAGAGCCAACTTGGAAATACACTTTTCCTGCCTTGAAGTTTGGGCTCTTTTCACACAGTGGGTATTAAAACTGGGGGACAAAAAGGAAATGAAATTAGTCCTTGGAAGAGATATCTGTGTTCTCATGTTTATTGCATCCCATGTTTACTGCAGCATTAGTCACAATAGCCAAGATATGGAGACAACCTAAGTGTTGATCCCATATTCTATATCCTTGGATGGATAAAGAAATTGTGGTGTGTGTATATGCATATATAATGGAATATTCAGCCTTAAAAAAGGGATCCTGCCATTTGCAACAACATGGTTGAACCTTGAGGACATTATGCTAAGTGAAATAAGCCAGATACAGAAAGAAAAAAATGCATAATCTCACTTATACATGAAATCTAAAAAAGTCAAATATGTAGAAGCAGAGACTAGAATGGTGGTTACCAGGGGCAGGGAGATGTGAGAAATGGGGAGATATAGGTCAAAGGGTACAAAGTTTCAGTTACGTAAGATGAATAAGTCTAGAGAGCTAATGTGCAGCATGATGGTTACAGTTAATAATACTGTATTGTATACTGGAAATTTGCTAAAAGAGTAGATTTCAGGTGCCCTCACCACAAAATGAATGGTATATATCAAGAGATGATGTTAATTAGCTTAACTGCAGTAATCATTTCAATATGTATATGTATATCAAATCAGCATGTTGTATACCTTAAATATTTACAATTTTTATTAACGAAAAGAATTTTTTTTTAAAAAACTGGAGGGCAGGATCACTGAGTCACAATCCTAGCTTGTGTACCCACCTCCTATAACACTGCACAAGTCACTTTACTTCTTTGGGCCTCGACTTTTCTATCTAAGGATGGGATACGGAACTTAAATCTCCCCTTGCATCTTTGAAGGGCCAACACAGCATGCAAGGAACCACAGAAGCAAGGAAAGCCACCTTGGACTCTTATCCTCTCCCTTCCCAGATTTTCCAAGGTGGTTGGGTTTCTAACCAACTATCCTTGGACCACATTCAGTGTTCCTGGCCAAAAGCTGGCAGGAAATCAGTTTGAAGCAAGGCTGGCTTCAGGGCCCTTCAGGAGAATGCTACAACAGAAGTCGCCAGGCTGCATGATTTTTAGCCTCTGCCATCTCCCGTTTCTAGTCAAATCCCACACAGCACTCTGAGCAGTGGAGGAAAGACACTGTCAGGTAAGACCAGCATTAAGCCATCTGACTACAGTTGTGTTGCAAAAAGGCACTGCCCCTTCTCCCCCAGTAAGGGATGATCTTATATGTAAGCAGAACTATGATTTCTGAGGTGCTCAGAAAACACTCCCTTATCCTAAGGATCTCTGACCTCCTTTTCTCTCACTGATGCTTAAAATGCCATTAGAAGTCCATTCCTTTGAAATAAGTGATTGCCTTTTGGCAATCAGATCTTATAATTCAAAAATTTCTCT